CAACACCAGACACCATGGGCGTTGGGTTAGGGTAACGAAGGACTTGAGAGCGTCGAGAGAATTATGTCGGCTAATTATGGTGATGTCAGTGGGGAAAAATCTGAACTAAAAACAATTTCTATAAATTGAACGCACGCGGTAGAAGTTAGATTAATCTACTTGGACTAAAAGCCTGGCAAAAGTACAGTTGGTATGACGCTTGCGTCGTATCGTAACGGTCCGGGTGCGATTCTCAGTAGTGGATGCGCACTGCTGATGAGTCCAAAATATAGGAGGAAATGGCCGTCCAGTGCTTTCTGCGTTCTGTTGAGGATTCTTCTAGACTCGATGAATTACTTAATTATGATTATTTCTATCACTTGTATATCCTTGCTTGAACTGGCTTCAGATGCTCTGGATGGAGCGGATTGGCGATAGAAGATGTGGATTGCGGGAGCACTCCGTTGGGTTAGGGAAACTCGGATGAGTTACACCACGGAATTTGTGAAGAGCGTCCAGTGCTTTCTGCATTCTGTTGAGTTTTTTTTTTAATTCTGTGATAACAGAATATGTGGTACAAGGCCGAAATGGGGAAGGGGGAAAAGGTCGGTCTTCTGTCTTAACTTCTAAACTTAGCTAGCCACAAACGCTGACTCAATCATACTAACAATATTCCTTGCACCAAATTGATTTTCCAAGCGTAGCTTAGATATGGCACAAGGCTGAATGTAGGGGCACCAGTGAGGATCGAATTTTACTACTCAGTAGTAAATGTTCTAGCGAGACAAGCTTGCTAACTATTACACTGCCTCGAGGTGCCCAACTGCATTCTGTTGAGGATTCTTCTAGACTCGATGAATTACTTTATATATATATATATATATATATATATATATATATATATATATATATATTACTATTTGAGTTTAAAAACAGTGCTCAATAGAGGATACAAAGCAAATACAGCGCCAAGTATTAAACTAACAATTAAAATCGCTTAAAATTCCAGTCGCTGCAAGCTTAATGGCTTGATGATCGAATAACTGCGTCTGGAAACTTGTGGCGACTGAAATTTTAGGGATTTTAATTGTCGGTTTACAATGGAGGGAGACACACACACACACACACACACACACACACAAACTTCATCGTTGCTCACGTGTTCGCGCGAGTAATGAACACGTGGCCAACGAAGTTTTAGAGAAAATGGGAACAAAAAGGACACTTATACATAACATCAGAAAGAGATTTTCTAGGGTACATGATGAGGACAGAGGGCTTGGAAAGCTTGGCACTCACAGGACATAAAACAAGTGGAACCTACCTAACGAGCTTGTAGCAGATTAGGATTAAGACAAACTTTACTAATGGCAACAAAGGGCAGGAAGTTGTAGGAGCCATGATCACCCACGTACTGAAGGGACACGACACATAGAAGAAGAGCATCTCATTTACCGACCAACTCTCTTTCTGAATTACATAAATGATCTACCTAATAATATACTCCGTTCATTTGTAAACGCCTATTCTGATGATACGACGATATACAGGCGTACCTCTAAAAGTCTTGACAATCAGAGATTGGCAGCTGATTTTTCTTCAATGGAGAAATATGTCTGGTTACATTCAATGCTTCTAAAACCAAACTGGTTACATTCCATCATCGCTGATCAGACCCCAAACTACCGCCGGTCACGATAAAGGGATGTCCCCTCGAGGAGGCACCGTGGCTTGTGAGGATATTGGGCCTCAAATTCATACTCGACCTCAAGGGGAATTCCTATATACGATCCTCAAGTGAAATTCTTATATACGATCCATCGCTAAAGATGCAGGTAAAATAATCGGCTCCTTGTACCGCTCAAGTAAATACCTGACTCCTCATGCTATCTTTTACCTTTATCAGATCAGACCGAAAATGGAATACTGTTGCTATATTTGGGCGGAAGCTGTCCGGTTCTCAGTTTTCAGTCTTGATAGAGTTCAAAAGCGTCTCCGAATCCTTGTTAGGGAATAATTATTTTCCAACGCCTCTCTCGCGCGACGTGGCGAGTCTCTCACTTCTCTTTCGCTTCTACCATCGAAAATGCTTGAACGAACTACATTCCTTGGTTCCGCCAGGTATAAACTTCACGGATAGGACCCGCCATTCCACTTATATAGTAAAAAACCCACCCTCATCCCCCTCCGTATTCCATCGGTGAGAAGTAAGTTCTACTCGAGCAGCTTCTTCTCACGAACCACTGCCCTATGGAACAGAGTGTCAAGAAGATGTTTCCCCGATCATTACAATCTTAACCTGATCAAGTTTAGAGCCAACCGTTATCTTACCTTTCCATATAAACTGCCTCTTAACTTAACCCCCTACCTCGGGTGTCCCCCAGTCCTTATACAGGGTGAACCTTACTGTAAAAAAAAAAACCCGAATATATCGAGTCTTCCGCGAGGAAGATTGGTTCTCTGAGTCGTGCCAAAAAACATTTTCTCATCAGAATCTACCATTCGTCCGTGCATTGAATATTGTTGCCATATCTGTCTGGTGATCCTGCTGTACATCTCAACATTCTTGACAAAATCCAAAGAAGGGTCTGCAATACAATCGATCCTGACTAGGCATCTCGTCCCCAGTCACTTTCTCACCGACATGACGTGGCTTCGCTCTGTCTGTTCCACAAATCTTTTCATAGCAACTGCTCGGGTCAACTTTTTTTTTTTCCTGGTGCCTAAACTACATGAATTTAAGCGTTCTACTAGATTGGCAACTACGTCTCACCGTTTTACAGTTGTACTAACTAGATGAAAACGCAACTTCTACTCTAACATTTTTCTAGCACTTCTCGCCTGTAGAACTCCCTTCCGATTTCTTGTTTCCCCGATAACTACAATCTTCAAAACTTTAAACACAACGTCAATCGTCATCTTCTGTCTTTTTGAACCCTGTTCCTTTTTTTTTTTTTTTTTTTTGTCCTTTCCTCAATCGTTTCATTCTCTTTCACTTTCAGTAATCCCTTGCGTTCTAGTGGCATTGTGGCATAGCTTGGGGGTGAAACGATTAAATTTTTTTTTTTTTTTGGCTTCGTCTTATTCTCTTCATTCTCATCCAAAGTATTTTATCGATGATTTTAGCATTTTTCTGTGATAACTTGCATTCTTCATAAAATAATGACGCATTAAACTGAGAAAAATAAAATTTAAAAAAATATATATTTAAGCTTGGTTATATTTAATGCATTCCGGATATGACATCACATTCTTCGCGATCTCAGCTTTTTCCGTTTCTCCAATACTTTGAATTGTCAACTAGTAATTCTATCACTATGTAGATGACCGTGTGTGTATTTACGTGTTGTTGTATTAGAAACACATGAGTAACTCCTGGTAGAATATTAAAAGGCCCAACTACATGAAAATTGGCGGACTTAATCTGTCCAACCGAAGATGAAAAGAAGACAAACAAGACAGATACATACATACATACATACATATATATATATATATATATATATATATATATATATATATATATATATATATATATATATATATCAACAAATATGTATTAAACAAATTACATGGCACGTAGACATAACATGTGTGTGTTTATGGTAACATTGTGTTTGTTCTTTGGTGAATGTTCGTACGTACGTGTATGTTTGTAGTGTTCATAGCGTTTTCCCAGAAATGAGAAATGCTGATCTTCTAAGAGCTTACATCTTCTCGCTGAAATGAAGAAGAGAGAGAGATTTACCTCACATCCACGCGAGGTGGAATTCGGCACAAGGCCTGAGGGGAAAAAAAGAGAAAGAGGCAAGAAGTTTCCCAGTATTTATAGTATGGGGAAAGAGACCCCTGGTGTAGAATTAGGGAACTAAGGTGGAGGTAACTCCTACAACTGCTATATTTTTGTCGTAATTACTAAATCAGTTTCTGAACCTAAATTGTTTTGAACGTCTAACAAATAAAAAAAAGACACCTTAATCCAATCGACCATAAAGTTCCCATTTGCTTAAATACCAAATCTTTACCCTGGTTAAATTTCTCCCTTTTTAAATTTTAAATTCCTCTTCAGGGAGCCCTGTGCCTCCTGTTTGAGAATTACCGAATTAAACTTGATGACTCCTACATTCTGCGGTTAATTCTGTCAGTGTTTGTATAGCTTGCGGTTGACAGGATACAAATTTGTTTTATATATGGAAAATGTTTTTATATAATATTTAGGAAATTCTTTTTTTATTTTTATCTATTTATTAAATTATCTTCTTTTTACATATCCTGTCTATTAGTGCATTTAAAGAATGTTTATCTATAGCCCTAACATGAACAGTGAATGAGTTATTTTATTTTATTTTTTGTCAAATCGTGAAATTGTTGATATTTCGAATGAATGTACTCAGCCTATAGAGATATTTTTAAAGCCATTCCCAAATCATTTCTCTTCAAAATTGTTACTTTAAAAAAATGTAACCACTGTTTAATATGAGGTAAGTGCAAAAGTTTTCAGTGCCTAGCTTTTTTGCAAACTTGAAAATGAATACAAGAGTCTCTTCTCCTTTGTTTTTTTTGTTTGTTTGTTTTTTTTTTTTTCGTTTTTTGATAGTAAGAAAAAAATTCCAGTATTTTACTTATTATGGAAATAGTTTTTTTTGTTTTTTTAAACACTGAGTCAAGTGCCTTTTGCTGTTTTAAATGTCTATCACATGTGTTGAAAACAATTGAGACACGACTGACAACAGTTCCCCACCCGCGCTCCTAAAAAACACACACACACACACACACACACACACACAACTTGATTAATATAAGTTGTCTACACTGACATTTTACTGGTGTTTTTTTTACTTGTTAAAAAAAAATAGTAATAAAAAAAAAGATGTAACTGGAAATTGTGTTATTTTTAGTAAAAATACCATCTGGTGTCGAAAAGACCTCGGGTTATTTCATTTTTCAAACATCAGAATTTTTTTAATCCTTTGTTGATCGGATCGAGTACTTTTCAGTATGCCACAGTAAAAGATGTGAAAATGTTATTCTTTTTATCTCTTCTTCTTTCTTTTTCTTCTTCTTTTTTCTTCTCTTTCTTTTTTCTTTTTTCTTCTCTTTCTTTTTTCTTTTTTTCTTCTCTTCTTTTTTCTTCTCCTTTTCCTTCTTTATTCTTCTTTTTCTCTTCTTTTTCTCTTCTTTTTCTTTATTTCTTTTCTTTTTTCTTCTTTTTTCTTCTCTTTCTTTTTTCTTTTTTCTTCTCTTTCTTTTTCTTTTTTCTTCTTTTTTCTTCTTTTTTCTTTTTTCTTTTTCTTTTTTCTTCTCTTTCTTTTTTCTTTTTTCTTCTCTTTCTTTTTTCTTCTCTTTTTCCTTCTTTATTCTTCTTTTTCTCTTCTTTTTCTCTTTTTTCTTCTTTTTCTTTATTTCTTTTCTTTGTTCTTCTTTTTCTTTATTTCTTTTCCTTTTCTTCTTTTTCTTTATTTCTTCTCTTCTTTTTCTTTTATTTTTCTTCTCTTCTTCTTTTTCTTCTTTTCTTCTTCCCTTCTTATTTTTATTGAGTGAGAGAGCAACACGCCAAGAAAGTTCCACAAATATATGAAGCCAAACATGAACGATATGGAGACAAATTTTGATAAAAGCAGCGTATAACCTTGAAGGTGACACCCAGTTAGAAATACTTTCAGGTCGGGTTAGCCAGTTTGCTCAAAATGTCTTATCCATCGTTATTATTATTCAAAATTAGTCCAGTCCTTTTAGCATTTTTATTTTGGGGTCACCTTTTCCTGATTCTGAGCATGTGTTCTTTTGGTTGCCATTTTCTTTATGACTCGATCCGTCCAATGGAATTCTCAGTATCCTTCTGCAGAACCACGTTTCTGCTGCTTCCAATTTCCTCCTTATCAATAAGGAGATTGTCCAACATTCACTGTCACGTAAAAGGATGGATATCACATAGCCATCCAGTACTATTTTCCTTGTTTCTAACGGTATTTTTTTTCTGTTTCTCACCACTTTGATTAAGTTCCGGAATGCCTCTTTCGCTTGTCTAACGTGTGTTCGGATCTTAGTGATGCATTTTCCATCCTCTGTTAAAACACTTCCCCGATATTTAAACTTCTGTACCTGCTTGATGTTGAGTGTAGGTATTTATTTGGCCTGATTAAGTTATTTTCTTGCATTAAGTTCCAGTAGTGAAACGACTAATTAGGATCGAACTCAGTGGCATGCGAGACTATTTTGATAAGCATTGCCTTCTGACAAACTGTGTGTGTTGTAGGGTAAGCAGAAAGGTGGGAATGTTAGTCATCGTTACGTTTTTTGATAAAGTGAATTGGTTGTTTCACAGTCATTTTTTTTTTCAGAGATCATTTTACACTCAACAAAATCCAGCATATCTCAATGAATTATTCCATACATTCATCACATTTATCAACATTGTGAGTCATCTCAGATAATTATAAAATCCCAAACGCCCAACTTCCCCGGTCTTTGAATGTATGCTCTCCGTACATAGATGGGTTTAAGCATTTTATACTTGTGCTTGCTTATCTATTTATGTGAGCGTTCTAGCATAAATTATTAACTGTGGTTATCTTCCGAAGGAAAAGACAATTGCGTGTGTGTGTTGAAGCTCTTGTCCAGGAAAGAAGCAAGTAAAAGGAATAGAGAAAGAATGGGTTTGTTATTGAAAGAAATTAAAAAAGAAGAAAGAATGAAAGAAATGAGGGAAAAGGATGCAGCAAAGGAAGGAAGGAAAGAAAGAAGGAAAGAAATGAAAAAGAAAGAAAGCAACTGTAAAAATAAAGAGGATGAAATATAGAATAAAACTGAGAAAGTGAAAATAAGCAATAATAAAGAATAAATTCTTGGTGGTGACTTAAAATATCGTTCCCTCTCCAAGAAAACATGCGGTAGAAGTTAAATTTAATAACACAGAATTAGATTTTTTTTAATGGGCACCCATTTTAAAAGTACATTTTTTAATTACTTTCACTTACGCGCAAATGAGAAAGTTATAAATTCATCTACCCCCAATTATGGGTTAAATAGTAAAACTTGTATCTGGAAAGATCATTGTTATTCTCAAAAATAAAATCTTAATGCCATATTCTCTCGCAAAAAAATAAACTCGTTCTTACCATCCAAAATATATTTCGGCTTTAAATAATCCAAAAAGGTTGGTAAGCCGTAAAAAAAATCAATCTTTCAATTTCTTCGCATTAAGCTGTTAAGTTTCAAGTCAATGCGGTTTCCCAGCTTCCTATCCAAAACATTGAACGCAGTGAAATATTTAAATACAGGGTGATTTAAAAGTAACTCCCTATTTTATGTATGATTGGCCAGACAGGAGCCCTGACTTAACACCCTGGAACCAAGACTACTATAACGAATCATGACTTTGGAAGAACTTGAAGGGCGAATACAAAAAGTTATGTCTTCCTTACCACAAGAGTCCCTGGTGAAATCAGTAGACGCGATTCCTGGGTGGCTCGAAAAGCCAGTAGCAAAATCTGGTGCCCATGTCGAATTTTGAATAAAGCACCATGCGAAACGCTTTCATCTCATATGCATATTTTGTAAAAATTAGAGTCAATAAATAAGTTATAAGTATGTTAAAATGGGGAGTTACTTTTCAATTGCCCTGTAGGTTTTTTAATTTTATTTTTTAGAAAAGAATGAGAGAGAAACGTGCCATACATGCATATAATCACAATTTACTAATTCCAGGTATTAAAAAACGCCCACTCAAATAGTGTGGTAAAAGGCCTATTTCAAAGTGGGAATCCCACGCATACCTAAGACCAGTGGCCAAAAATAGTCCAGTCTCCTTGGTATTTTCCTTTTTGGGGGATGCCTCAGGCATTTGGGATTAACTCTAGCTCTCTTCCGAGATAGAGATACTGCCTGACACTCTGGAAGATTTTAATAATCCCCACAATGGATATGCGAGCAGTGTAGCGGTTATCGGTGCCGGGATCGGTTTTCTGTGTTAAAATTCAGTCTTAGTCGGTTGCTTTTATTTTCACACTAGTAATTTTAGGCCAGACATGTTTCCATCTCTCTTTCCCACTCCCAAACGCATTAGTGTGAAAGTGAGTGCAAGAAGTTAGACCGGAATTTGAAGTCGGCTGAGTGGCAAGGTAGGATTAGCTTTCGAGCATTTGGTGGTAGGCAGGACAACTCTGAATTCAAAATCCGTAGAGAAGGCAACGGGATACTGCTCTAGTATCTTTCGCAAGAAGTCGTGTTAATACACAGATAATAAAGAAAAGGAATCTTGGAAAAAAAGCAGCGGGAAACCATTCTAGTATCTTTCCCAGAAAGGCATGATAATTTACAAAAAATAAAGAAAAAGAATCTGTGGAGAGCTAAAAATATGTACAACCTGGCATAAAAATCCCAACAACTAAATAAAAGGGGAAAAAAATGAAAGCTGGACAGTGTAATTGAATGACGAAGAAAGGGATGAACATATGAATACGATTTCGTCTGCCAGAAAAAAAAAATTGAGACGAATTTGCAGTTACGAGAGCGAAAACCCAAGACACGTGCAGCTTCGATCACGTGTTGAGCGGACGAAACGAGGCTCACGCGGGAAACCGCCACGTGAGTCTTGTAAAGAACATCAACCCGTCTACAACAAGCCTTCTCCAGTTCCAAGCATGGTAAATCCAACCCTAGTCTTCCTCTTCCAATTCACCCGCACTTAAGGCCACTGTTATTACTGTCATCGCCCTCGCTATTTTTCTTGGGTAAATGTCAGCACCACCCTCACCAGATTCGCAGCACTGAAAATTTACACGAAAAAAGAGTCTAGGTCAGCTGTTTGCGTGTGTGAAACGAAAGGCTGCAAATCACAAACGGGATTTGTTCACTGTTCACAGTAAAGTTTTTGTTGTATTCTTCTTCGTTCTGTTCTTGACTTTGGAATTGTCGATATTTGCATCTCCTTTATCCTAACCCAATCTTACATTATTTTATCTACTATTCTTTATGTCTTCCGAGATTTGGCATTCGCGTGAATAGTCTTCGTTTAGTATCGGATTGAGACAAAAGTTCGTCGCGTTTTTCAGTGGTTTGAACATATCATTTCGTTTCACACATCTGAAAAGTGATATTTCAACACTATTTACATTATTCGGACTATTGTCATCTTTGTTGCCATATTTATTACAACGTTGTACGCTCCAACCTTCTTCAGGTGGTTGGAATGTTGAACTAAACCCTTTATTTCGCTCACTGGGGTAGACTGTTCTAGTTCCATATGCCATAATGGATGTCAGTTATCTCCTGTTAATTCCCCCTCTTCAAGTTCTCCACCGCCTTAACCCTAGAACACTAACTATTAATTAAAGTTACACGACTACTAACCATGGTTATATCATACGCGATTTTTAAAATATCAAAAAAAAAAATTTAAATATAAATGTTTATTTGAAATATTTTACATGCAGACACTTCGAACTTTGTACTTTGAATTAACATTAATAGGAACTGAAAAACATTATTTACGTAAGAAAATCAGGTACTGAAAATTGTAACTAAAAATAGGGGCTGGGTATATTATACCCATGGTTAGTGTTCTAGGGTTAATCAGGTATTGAACTCGCATTCTTTGGGTCCTGTCACTGGATCTAACTAACGCCTTTATCCACTGTGCCATGTGTCCTTGAGAACATCTGTATATGAATTTCTGGGTATTATAAACTTTACCATTTTTACCAGTGCTCATATAGCAATTTTTTGCTGTTATTATTGCAATGATAACAGCAACAATGAGGATAAAGGATAAGGGCGTTAGTTAGATCCAGTGACAGGACCGAAAGAGTGAGAGTTCAATCCCCTGTTAAGGCAGTGGAGAACTTGGAGAGAGGAATTAACAGAAGATAACTGATAACTGACATCCATTAAACATGGCACGTGGAACTAGAACAATCTACCCCAGTGAGCGAAATGAGGGTTCAGTTCGACATTCCAACCACCGGAAGAAAACCGGAGCGTACAACGGCCGAAACGTTGTAATAAATATGGCGACAAGGATGAGGACAATAGTCCGAATGGTGTAAATAGTGTACATAATGCCTCATCTCGGAAATACAGACAGATACTAAAGGGACGAAACGTTGTAATAAATATGGCGACAAAGATGAGAACAATAGTCCGAATAATGTAAATAGTGTACATAATACCTCATCTCAGAAATATAAACAGATACTGATATTTCAACACATTTTTCTATACGATTCGTGCGTGGATTGTGCATTTTATTTTATTTTATTTATTTTTTTTACGTTAAAAATGAAAATGAGAAGTATTTTCATCATTTGATGCTCCTTTACTGCTAGAAAGAAAAAAAAATGTACAAAAGGCAAAAAATTATGTGCTGTTTATGAAGATAGTGCCATAGCAGAGAAATATTTTTCGTGGGTGGTTCGTTAAGTTTGAAAGTGGAAATTTTGACTGAGTACGTTTTGACAGGCCTGCAGTCGTTGGTAATGAAGAGTAAGCGTTTAATTCTTACAAGAACTTTTCCCATTTGGCAAGAATCGATGAAAAG